TTGCTGCTGCTGCTGTTGTTGTTGTTGGTATTTGCAATTAGAAATGCTCACAAAAATTTTGAATAAACTGTGGAAGTCCAAACGGTAAAGTAACTTTCAATTTCATTTGTTTAGAAATTTAATTTGAGTATCAATATTTTTTATTTGTTCACATCTTTTTTCTGCTTCTTATTTACTGGTAATCTACATTTATTTGTGGCATTTTATTTGTTATTTAATAGCTCATCATGTTATTCATCAAGTGATTTCAAACAATTTCCATAGTATCTTATGTGAGTATACGAGTATCTTTTATGTTTCTGTGCAAAGATACTTATTGTATTCATATTATTTTTTGGATTAATGCACTCTTGTTGCTTTCGTCGTTAACTGGCAGGGCCTACTATGCACCCAAATTGTTGGAATGCAATGTGGTCCAGTGGGGTCATGTGATGACTTGTGCTGATAGTTTTGTTTTTGCTTTTTGTTGTTGTTGTTATCTTATAAACAAAATCATTAACTTATAGAAAACCTTTTTCTGTTAACTTTTATTGCTGTTCAACATTATTTTTATTGTGGCTATTGAAATTGTTGAGATTGAAATTGAAATTGTTGTTCCGATTGGTTTTTAACTGTGAGCATTATGAGCTTTATTTCCAGCACGATAATGATTTATTTTTATTCGATCAAAAATTCTTGAAGTTGCATTCATACAGTTTTTTTTCGATTTTTAGTAAATTTTCCTGATCATATCTTATTGTTAGCGGCAATAGGCTTAGATTTCTAGGTCAAAACTACCTTGAAACCATGATTGAAATGAACTTCGCATGATGAATATTTTGATATTAAAAAGTAATTATGACTTTCGTTTTTTACTATGCACTGAAGCTGTCCATAAAGTTATTTATGATTTAAATAAAATAGAATAGACTAATATAAATTTAATTTCTCTGAATTTATGGAAACTATGGTATCAATTAAGTTTTCACATATCGACATGTTTTTGCATTTGATTGTTCAGAAACTAAAGCAATTAATTTTCATTTTTAATAAAAAAAATATGAGCTTATAGAAGAGTGTATTGCACCGCGTACATTTAACAACTATAATAAAAATTCAAATAACTAATATGAGCTTATAGAAGAGTGTATTGCACCGCGTACATTTCTTTTAGATCCTCCTAAATTTCATTTTAATTCATTTTTATGATATATATATATGCGCAGGCTAACTGAATAATTTCACAAAAAAGAAGTCTATATTCTTACTGACAGTCAGGCTATTAAAGCTGTATAAGCAGTCTACATTTCATCAAGATTAATGCAAAAATGTTGGCAATTTATTAACCACTAAGCGAGAGGGTCAAGGTATGTTAACTTGACTTTGGGTTTCCGAGCATTATAATGTAATAGAAAATGAATGCGTATGTTAGATGAGCTGCCCAGAATGAACGCTTTTTCTACGGATACCCCTATTTATTCTAAGTGTAGAACCTCTGACTTAATAAATAGAAGCAAATCAGAGGTATGTAGGTTAATATTTGTCTCTACAGGACACGGTTCATGCGACGGCACGGGGCCTACCTTATAGTATTTCTTGTAATACGTGTCTACTAGCGTTCGAAGAAATCACACTAAAACGATTATTGTGTCTATGTCTAGGCTTGTCCAGAGCCAGGCTAAAGTTTTCTTTAGCCTGGTTTTTTAACACATTCAGCGATACCTCCAGCATCAATATTGCTCATAATCTTGCCTTTATAAATACTTCTGACTGGTTCTAAATTAACCACTCTTCTACCCATTATTACGAAGAATTGTGGTATCAAAACGGCTTTCTTAACTAATTGTGGAAGACTCGTTCTTCTCTTCACTTTACTTAACCTAACCTAATTGATCAATTGTTAATAGAAAATAGAACTTTTTTAAAAAAAAAATATTATTGTTACTTTAGACGATCCTTGTCGTCTTTGGGGTATCATTCTTTGTAAATGCTTTACATTCTAGAAATTCCTAGTGACATAAGGTTAAACTACAATCAGTACTCTGAATATGACTATATGTCTTTTAAAATATTAAAGAAGATGTGTTTTATTAAATCAATTGATAAAAAGTCTATGCAAAACTAAAAGAAATTTGGTCATTAAAAGAATAACTACAAAACCTTATGATGAGAACTTGATCAGCTTGAATAAATTCTTGCTAATAATACTTAATTTTTAGTCATTAATAGCTCGAGCGTTTCTATATATCAATATATAGTTGCTTAGAAAAAGACTCTCATTGATTTTGTTCTTCACCAATATATTTTGTGAAACCATTTGAAAATGGCTCTACTACTATTTAATGGTTTATGGTTCTTTTACTATTAAATAGTTTGAATTTAGTCGGTCTTATAACCAGTGTGTACCGGGCCTTAGAGAACCAATAGCTAAATTCTCATTCCATTAGGTAAAATGCCTTAGTTCATATAAATAACAGTTCTATTGGTGATTAAGATACTATAAGATCCCATATGAATGATCTACGATATACGAGGAAATTGAAGAAGATACGATATTAGCGTGGATGAAAACCAATTATTAAAATATTTTCACATACTTTTAGGCAAAAACATCTAGCTTATACAGTAATTTCAAGTTTTTAAAGCTTTCTAAACTCTTATTTATTTTAAGTAATGAATAAACATGGTAAGTAAATGGAAATTATCTCAATTTTATTTTTATAAGAAATAATTTTATTACTCTACTCGTACAATATATTTTGCTATCTTTAAGAAAATACTTCCTCGACTCAATCACAATCGACTTAAGTTTTTCAATATCGATTCAGTGACAGATATTGCATTCATTTTTGGTAATTGCCGATCACGGTAAATTTAAAATTTTAAATGAATAATTTTTTTCACACGCTATGCCAATAAAGCTTAATTACCTTAATATCGTGGTTTGCATCTGAAAGTTTTTATATGATGAATAGATGCATCATCTGGTAATTTTACTCAATTTGTCGTCAAATCTGAGTACCCCAAAAATAGATAGCTCGTTGCAGGAAGCAAAACCATCATTTTGTAGACAAGCAAGCAGTTGATTTATGGTGTATTCGATTGGTAAATCTGGTTTCAATCTAGATATACTCTTGATCGAATATTTTTAGGGTAATCTAGCATTTTTATAGTAGTGTTAGTAGACATTTGTATTTTTCATAAATACATATGTCGAATCAAATCATACTTCATTTGCCAAGTCATATAAGACATATATAAGATTTATCAATACGAAATGAAAAATACACTAAAATTAAATCTCGACTGAAAAGGGGTCCCTAGGTTTACCAATTGAAAACGGTATTATATAGTCCGCTGCCAATTACTTCCATTTGTGATCGCGACCGTTTTATAAAGATATTACTTGTCACTAAAAGTATGCAATAATTTTTAACATTGAAATTTCAAACAAAATTTCCGCAGAAAACTTTTTCTCGTTATTTTGGTGTTGTCAACTAGTACTTTGGCTTTGGCTTTTATGTAATTAATTAATCTCTCAGTATTAATTTTTCTCAATTAGTTTTTTTGAATTTTATTGCTCTTAGTTAGTATTGTGCCTTTTAACTTTGAAACTATATTTTTAAACTGTCTCAAATATAGTCTCAAAAACTTTTTATTAAAATTATTACCTTAATAATTGGTATTAAAGTTTGCTTAGTTGAATGATTTAATGAAAGTCAATTTTTGTTTTTCTGTTTATGTTTACTTAAATAATATTTATTTTAAAAATTACATTAAAGCAAAAATGAATAAATATTACATGCTAAATACAAATACAAATATATATATAAAAATACATACAATATTATAAAAAGTATAAAATTTCAAAATTTACAAGTTAAAGATTTCAATATTGGTAAAATGTTAAAGTTGTTTAAATTGCACACATACATTTAGAAAGCTTTCATCTTTTTCGTCCTTTTTTCTCCTTTTATGGTAATTTTATGTTTTATGTTTTTTGTTTTAATTTTTTGTTTTTATTTTTTGTTTTTATTTTTTGTTTTTTGTTGTAAATTTACAGAATTGAAATAAAGCCACAAGTTTGTTGCCCGCATTCAATATTAAAAAGGAAGGTTTTAACTTTATAATTGCGTCTTTGATTTTGCAAAATTTAAGAAATTATTAAATATAAAATTTAATAGAATTTCATATATAATTTGTTACTTCAAAGTTGATTTTATTTTGAATTAAATTTCATTGAATTTGCTGAGCTACGTAGTCGCAAAGAATCACTACATTTTCCTTTCTCATTTTGTACAATTTCAGTTTTGTTGTTTCAGGTACAAACTTTAAATTAATTTTTCATTTTTTATATGAGTTCTGTTTGGGGTTCTACAGAATTAAAATTGCTTTTAATTAAATTTTTAATCTGCACCTTAATTTGGCACTCTTGGAATCTTTTTTTATATATACCATTATTGTATATAATATTAACTAATTGTATATAAATAGAAGGTGTATAAAAATAATTTACAATATTTTAAAATAAATCTTTTCACGCCTAAGTATTTACACATAACTTAGCAAGCAAATTTACAAAATATTTTATATATAGATATACAAATATATAAATGTATATACGTATTATAAATAATTAATTACAAGCAACTAGTTGTAAAGGAATTCTTTTTTTCGTATCTAATTAATAGCATTCATTTTTATGTGCTTGTATTTCTCACCATAAAATTATAAATTATATTTAAAATAATACACGACTTGGCTGCTATTTTTAGTATTTTGCTGTTGCAGCAATTTCACTGCTACTAACTTTTTTAGCATAACAACTCTAAAACTAAATAAATATTTATTAAATATCCATAATTTGGTAACTCTAAACAAATATAGTTTGTAATTGTAATTGGTAACGCGAGACTCAATTGGCTCAGTCAACATGCTAACATGATTAGTGTAACTGCTACTTCTACTGCTACTGCTACTGCTACTTTTACATTTGTTTCCGCAGAAGGATTTAGTGTGTGTAGTGTCCGTTTCCGTTTCCTCTTTATGTTTGACATTCATGTTTGTTTGCTCGTTGACAACGTAACGCTGTAGCCATCAATCATTGGCCATACAATAGCCGGAGTAGGTCTGTATGTTGTCTTCCAAAAAGCTTTCGCCCGGAATAACACCGGATTGTGTATGATGACTGGGGCAATGATGTGCTTTGGGGCATTGACACAAAGCATTGATGTTGACTTCATCCAAAAACTCTTGTCGTTTGCGTACAGTGAACAGTTTACAAGGCTGTTTGCGTTGGCAACGAATACGCTGTAAAAAAATTGAAATATTAAATATAAACAATTTTAACTAAGAAAAGTGCATTTTCCATTATTTCTACTAAAATTGTTTGCCTACCGTCAATGGTGAACACGCAAAGAGATAAGTGTAACCGTTCGAACCATCAGCAGCCGGTTCTCGTTTCGTCAAATACGTTACAGAATTCTTCGGGCATCTGCAGTGCACAATCTGCTCGGTTACATTCAGCTCTGTTGATGTCGTCAATGTCCAAGTGTAGTCACGGAAGTGTCTATGCAAATAATTTCATAAAGTTAATAAAAAATAATATTAAAAATAAAATTTTAAAATACTCACTTGCATACTGGCAATTTATGTACTGGTTCACAAAGTTTGTAGTGACGTGTTTTATCAGCTATGGTGTGTCCATCTTCGATGCCTAAGCCACTTGGACAACCACCTATAAAACTTGTGGCTGCTTCCTTTGCTCTATGTGTCATGTGACCTGAATGCCGCATGTGTGCTGTGTTCGTTGTTATGCCACGCATGCTGTATGTACTGTGACGTGGTGTATGTGGAAACTCATTGTCGGTAATCTCGTCTAAGTCTTCTATTGATGGCACTGCATCATTGTCTGCATGCTCATAGTAATCACTTGGCTGCAATTGTAAATCATCTTTGTACATGGCTCCCAATTTTTGTATGAACTTCTTCAGATGTAGACTTTCGAATTTTTTATCCGCAAACTCACTAACCAGCAAACGTTTGTGGTGTAAGATTTTCTCACGTTCATAATAGTTTCGAAACTTATCTCCATAAGAGTTGCTGTGCGGTGATGCAGCATTCTCTTTGCTGCTTTGGTGATGTGAATGGTGATGATGTATTATTATATTTGGCATATGATTGACTTCTGGACAACGACATTGACGTTCAATCCAGGGAGTTTCGTAAAGATCAATTTTCGAACAAACTGCATTTGGAGCACAAATGGGTAAATCTGCTTCCGATTCCTGTAAAAAAGAAATGTTTAATTAGTTATTTAAATATTAAAGCATAGTTTCAGGAGAAATTAATTATGCAGGTGGAAAAATTGTGGGAAGTAAATTTATTAATTTTAATATATCATTTTAATTTTTTTTAATATAATTTTTAATTCATAATTAAAATATTAATTTTATGTGATTTTTATATTTTTAAATAAAAAGTGTTTATGTATTATGTGCTTATTTTGTTAATTTATATGTGTTTATAAATATATATGTGTTTAAATATATATTCTAAGTACTTTCGGAGATTTAAATTAATAATAATATATTAAAAATAATAATATATTATAAAAATATATTTATATTACCCTACATTTTCTAAGTTTTATTAATTTTTTTATTATTATTAATCTTTTTGTATTATATATTGTTTCAATATATTCGATTTTATCTTAATTACCTTAAGCAGTTAGATTTTATTTTAATAATTTTATTTTTTAGGGTATATGGTTTTTTTCATTTTTAATTATTAATATTAACACTTTTTATTGTGAAATATGTGCTCATACATATAATTTATTTTATTATCTTGCTTATTTTTTAATATTGTGTTCTGTATATATATTTTCTGTTTATTGTTTAAAAACTAATGCCATATATGTATATATTATACTTGTTAAACATACTAATCTTTCTATTTTTAAAATATTCCACTACATTGAAAAAATATTGACTTTTTATTTACTGACTTCCAGTGACTGAATTCCATAGTAGAATCCAGTACTCTACACCTAAAAAAAGATACTATAAATATGGTTAAGATGATATACTTGGATGCAGTAGAAATATTTGATTAAAGAAGAGGTGTGTAAAGGATCAAAAGTAACAAATAGAAGTTATAGATCAAAAATTGTTGTAATAGAGATATTTCTAATTATTACATGACATTCAATTTGTTCTTTTTAGATAATTAGTATGTTAATTCATATCTATGTCAATGATAATGTAATTATTAGTTCTTGATTCTGTGGTTTCTTTATTAAACTAATTTATTTATCAAATAATTAAATAAAATAAAAATACTTTGTATAATCTTAAACAACATTTTGTTTGTTAATAAAACTATTGTTTTAGAAACAAATGATATGTCATTATTGTCAATCTTAATTGCTTATAATTTTGGATATACTTCTGAGTAAATGAACTTTTAAGAATTTACATATTTTTACAAATATTTACTAAACTATTTTAAAGTGATTTTATAAAAAAAAAATTATGAAGTTTCATTTAAAATGAAATTGAAAAAATTATGATAATAAAAAAAATCCATAAAATGTTTGTTTATGACACCTTTAAAAATGTAATATAATTTAATTTGAATGGAATTTCTTTCATTCTCCCATATACTCGCACACTCAACGCTCGAACTTCCTCAACAATAATATCAAGAGTGACAGCAAAAATGTTGGTCGCACCATCAACGGCAACAGCATCAGCATCAGCAACAGTAAAGGCAACAACAACCATAGCACACTTAAGTGCCATTCATGGAATTAAAGCAAACAACGCAGATACAAACTAAAACTGCTACCGGAATTACTACCAACGTGTAATGACCATTATTAACATATTCCCTACAAGAATTCCCGAAAAAGACTGTGCCCAAGCACCTAGCGTCAAGCACCAATAACAAAACAAAGAAAAACCAGAAAGAGCACCAAATCCCATCCCAATGTAGCATGTCTTGCGCGTAGTGTCCAATTTATTGTGGTGCACTTCAGATGAACAACAACAACTGCACATAGTTCAGCTACGAATCCACTATCCACTATATTTTTATATTTCCAGATACTTGAGTTTATTGCTGGTCCATGCAGCAGCCACTCTTGACGCTGTTGCTGTTGATTATGGCGTTGTTGATATTGTTTTGTTCCCTTCGGTGATTATTACTAGTTTTTTTTTAAATCTTTTTTACAGATTTTTTTTTGTTTTTTTTTTTCATTCTCCTCAAAGAGATCTTTAATATATATTGTGTGCTGTGTCTGTCTGTCTCTGTGTCTGCCTGTTTTTAAGGGTTATTATTAAACATTTTTAACCTCGTTTTTTCATTGATACATTCTTTCACTTTTCCTTTATCTGTGTCTTGACCACGTTCAAAGTATTTACATTTTAGTTTGTTTTTTTTTATTTATTATTTTTTATTTTATTTTCAATAAAAAACAATTTAAAATGCTTGCCTGCCTCAAGCTTGACATTCCATAGTTGAATAAAAATGAGAGAAAATTGTTATTGTTTTTTTTTTATTATTCTTATTTTATTTATAGTCTCCATAACCTTTTTTTCTAGAAATATCATTATCTCGTTCTCCCTTTTTTCTAAGTTGAAGCAACATTGTATAATCTAGTGGAGTTCCAACTTCTTAGCTTGAGTGTTTAGAATTCCTGCTCAAGGTGTTGTTAAAATTTATTGAAAGATTATGTTTACATAATAAGATATCCTGCAGCAAATTGGGCTAGTGTAGCATAAAAAAAAAAAAAGAAAAAAGGGAAATATATAGCGTAGTATAGAATAGAAGAATTATGATATCAAGAACATAGCAAAACTGCCTTCAACAAGGGTTTCTGCTTAATATAAAATATAAATTGCTAACATTTTGAATAAATAAAAGCATATACTATAAAAATGTTATGCAATATATGTCTTCACTATTTAAAATTGTATTCACCTTCTAAGATCATTCCTTATCATACCTTAATGCTCAAAATAGGCGTCTTTTGTAAGCACACTGCAAAAAAGCAATATCTTATATTAAATATAACATATAAAACAGAAATCTTCCGTTTTTAGTCTCATAAGCGAATTGTTTTGAAATAAGCAATAAGCAAATAAACCTAGCGTTATGAAAACAATGGACTGATCTATTATTAATATAAAATTATAATGTTTAAAAGCACTTGCTAGTTTGTGTATATTAAATCGATCATATATCAAAATAAGATATGGCAAGCCAATGCAATATTTATTTAAGCTATTTAAAGTGACCATTGTTGGTACTTTTATTAATGATCTTGTTGTATTGTAATTATCTATGTTAATGACATTTTATTAATGTAAATTTTATTAGTGATTGTTGTTAAAGACAACAATTAAAGTTCTCTTCAATTTAAATAAACATAAGATGCTTTTACCACATGAATTCTTGAATTCATTCTTCATGTAGTGTTTAATAATAATAATTATTAAATATATGACTTTATATATTTATGTTTTCAACCAAGCTATGGTAACAGTAAAAATGCAACCTATGAAAAGCAGAACAAATGATATCACTATTAGCTTCTATATTCTTATTCATGTTTTTCTTGTATTACAAACCAGTATAATAGACAAATTCCCAACTTTTAAATAAAATGAAAATTATATTAAGTGTTCGAAAAATATTCTTACATCGAAAAGAAGACCTTATGTGGAACAAGTATTGAGAATGAAGAAAAGAAACATACATTTAGTTACATATGACAATATTATGAGTAATCATAAAACATATATATAGAAAGTAATTAGCAATGAATAATACCGAATATTTGGTAGAAAAAATTTCAACACAATCTACTTAAAAAAATCTACTATAAAAAATAATAGGTGATGCAAATAAAGATGATTAGCAAGACTTGAAGAAAAAAACCTGCCAGAAGTGACATGAAAAATTTGAACGTAAAGAGAATTGAGATCATTATGATCGACGATCAAAAATAATATAGTCGTAACATAAATATTCTACATTTGAATAAACAGTATACAATATAATATAAAATAATAAACACAATGAAATAAAAGAGGGTTCCATTTATCTATGCACCGCCAATTAAATTGTTATGAATTTTACAGCTTTAAGATCAGCATACATTGTTATAGTGTTGTTGTTGTTATTGTTTTGGTTTGTTTGTTTCTATGTGTGTGTGGTTGTTGTTGTAATCCTTTACGCACATACGTTCATTACGCTCTACTAACAACTTAAGCAGGTCTCCTAAGTGCTTATATGTGTGTGTAGTAGGGTCCTTAGAACTAAAGTAATTTTACATTTGAAAGCACTTGGGAGCAGATATGACGCTGCATAAAAATGTGTAAGAAGGAAGAAGGAATGGATGCTGAAGAGTCTAGTGAATATATTGTGATGTCTATTGACCCAATCAATTTAAAGTGGCTGCAACTCCTTTAGCTTTGAAGTTCATAACAGAACATAACAGAGATACTTTTCATTTCAGATATTAAATGTAAAAAATATGTTGTGTTATTGTTATTGTTGAAAATGGAGTGGAGTAGCTTCTTATATCCTTCTCAGCTTTTGGGATTTTGGTAGTATAAACAATACTTAAAATCTATGACTGTGAAGGATGTCCACAAGTGCTTGAAGGAATTTATTAGAAGAGTTTTTTCTTCTTCTATTTTTAAGTTAAAATATTACACTGATGAATGATATTTTAGTGAAGTTGAAGTGGTAATGAAATTATTTTTAAGTGTTAAGTACTCCATTAAAAGTAGTTCATTTAAAGAGAGTTGTGGAATACTCGTAGATATTATTTTTGTTTTTATGTATTTTTGTTTATTGTTTATGTTATTTATGCTGTTTAGGCAAATAATTAATAAAATATATTAAATACATATAAATATATATTTTCGGTAAAATTGTATTACACTGAGTAGAAGAAAGAAGTTTGATAAAAAATTAATTAATTAAATATATAAAGAATGAAAAGTAATATAAAATAAAGTAAAATATAAATTGGGAATTAAATATATAATTAATATAATATAATTAATATAATATAATAATATAATTAATTAATTAAATATATAAAGAATGAAAAGTAATATAAAGTAAAGTAGTATATAAATTGAGAATGTATTAAGGAACACGAAAAATCCATTAGTTTTCCGAACCAAAATTTTGAAAGAATTAATCATAACTTTATAAAACAATTAGCGGACCTCAAAACAGTGGTAACGCAATAAGCAATATTAAT